TGACATTTTTCACATTAAAATTTCTGACTCCTATTCCTGTCAATTAAAAATTAATCTTTAGCTAGCAGTGGTTTAGCTTAGCACTAAAATTACATGTTTTATGATGAAGATAGCTGGAAAAAAAATATTGACGATGGCTCCATAGTTTGTGCTGCCGTCCCACAGCAGGAGGGTCCAGGTTCAAACCCAGGCAGGCAGGCAGGCAAGTTAAAACTTGCATGCTCTCTATGCTTGTGCGAGATTTCTCCACTCTGTTTTCTCCTGTCCTTGTAAAACCTGCTGCTGTAATTATGCGTATCTGTGCCAAGGATACATTTCACTTCTTGGTTGAATAACGTTGGAAAAATGTTGGTGGGTGTAGTTCCAAAACAAAGGGGCTTTTCACATGGGAGGCATTCTGCTGTGTGTCCACCGCCACCAGCCCTGCATCTGTCTGGGGTCAGGGAAGTGTTATGGCTCTCTGTGATGTAAATATGAGAACAGCAATGTAAACAAACAACACTTACACAATAAGCGGGTCTGTTTTCTATGTATTCCCATTCACTTTATTCAGATGAGACTACTGTGGTTTTAATATACAAAGCAACACTGTGACGGGGGCCCCACCCTGTGGGGTACTCGGGGTAGAGCACCTGGTGGCCCATGGTGACTGGCCAGATGGAGCCTGCAAGCAGTGCATGGGTCAGCCCTTCACACGGGTTCAGTAAAAGATGTGGTTTTCTTTGTTTCTTAAACCAATTTTTTGTTCACATGTCTGTGAACTACACTAAAAGCACTGCGACTTCTCATTGAAAATAATTGAATGCTAGCAGTTGTTATAAGCCAACAGTGGAGTTTGACGTAACTTGGCTTTAAGATTAATGGAAAAGATTCGATGTCTTTAAATCATGCAGTGACATTTTTAGTCAAAATTCTGTTCAAACTAGAGCTAAGAGAGATAGCAGAGAGGATTTTCTACCATGCTTGTATTAGGCAGCAAAGTAAGACAGTAAGGCTGAAGTCCCAAAGCTACACAACAGACATTAGTTTCCTCTGCCTGCACAAAGTCGCTGCTTACAGCTCATAAAACTCTCCTAATTAGAAACATGAGAGCCCAGTAGAAGTGGTTGCATCTTAGCTGTACATGATTGGCAGAACAAATGAAAATCAATCAGTTAAACAACTTATCAGAAACTCTTGGCTGGCTGTGCCTTTTCAGTCTTTGGCCATTTAAAAAAAGGAAGTAAAAGCTAAAGTATAGAAAGTCCCAGTTATTTGTTTTTGTGGGGGTTTAGGTGGAATGGATGGATGCCTGAAGAAAGAGTTTGACTCACAGCACCCTTTTAATTAACAGCAGATTGTTGGTGTTACATTTAAACAGTGTTATGTGTTAGAAGTGCTGGTAGGTGCTTCTTTTGCTAGCTGCTTTCAGGTGATTCCTGTCTTTATGCTAAGCTACTTTATGCCAACGGCTGGTTGTCGTCTAATGTAGATATAGACGCGTTAGGGATGTTATGATAGTAGAAATGTAGTAGTCAGTACTAATATCAGTGTTAGTTATATGATTGTTGATACCCAATTAAATAACATAGTTACAAAAAAGCGAGCAAACAAACAAACCGAATGTTCCTTGTATTTAAAATTAGCCCCCTTTATAAAAAATTTTTTTTTATATCACTGACATGCTGGTGGCAGACCATTTATTTAAAATGTTAATATTACAGTTATTGACAGGATACAGGCTGAATTGTTAGGATGGTTCCCATTTAGGCTATGGAACAGAGCTGATGTCACAATGATGATAATAATAATGCAAAGTAGTTCCATGTTGACTTTTACTTCTAATAAACAAGTCTGGGCAGAGCCGTCATGGCAGCTGCACTAGTCGCATGTAGGATAGGCGCATGGTGCCTCTGTCACTTCCAGACCTGCAGCCTCGGTACAGATGCTGTCTATGGTAGATGTAATAAAAGGACAAAACAAACTTGACGTGGATGGGTGTGTGTTTGTTTGTGTATCTGTTTTTTTGTTTTTCTTCTCTTTCAGCGACAGTGTGTCCTTTTGCTTTCTTTGTGCTTTGACCTGTGATCTTATCTTTTCTCCTGTTTGTCCCCTTTTCTATTTTCTTTTGTATTCTCTTTACTTCCAGCTGTCGGCTCAGGCATTATTACACCATACATGTATAAAAATAATTAAATAAAAAGAAATTGGCTAGCAAAAGGAGCCTATACAGAGTTGATAGTTTATAGATCCTCTTGGCAAATCAAATATGTTTGGCACATCAGTGCATTCAGACCATGATTCTGCTTGCTGAAGCTTGTAGAAAAGAAAGGTTTAAAAACAAACATTAAACAATTATTGTCATATTTTGAGAATTTTGATATGAATTGGTATCTTCTGATGATATCCCTTAGACACATGCTATATCAGGCCTTGTGACATGTGTCTCTTTAGACTGAACATAAATGTTTGTGCTGATCTTTTATGCTCTAGTGAAAGAAAAGCAATAGTCATAATAAGCAGTCTATTTTTAAAACTGACTTAATTTGCATGGACTATCCTGACACAAAATGGTATTTGTCACAGTTTGTGTTACTGTGTTAAGTTGTCCTAAATTATCTGACTGTTAAGTATTTTTCATGGTACTAACAGCTCAGTAACAGCTAACTGACATATATTCCTGATTTGTATCTACAGAAACCGTCAGACCTCCACAGTGTTGCTCAGATGGACTTGTTTTGTCTGCAGATTCCCAAAAGATAAAGTTAAAAGCCATTCATGAACCACAGCACTGAAGATAACAGACTCAAGACATGACAAGTATGGGAGTATTCCTGTTGGTCGAAAAAGCATCTGCAGAGAGCTGTAATATTGAGTTATTATTGTGTTTTATAATTATGTTGTGGAAATATTACAGTTATCAACAGAATATAAGCCTTTTGTACAGTTCTGACATTTATAGCTAACCAGAACAGTTTAATCACTTGTAAATTCAGAGGGTTTGGGATATGTACGGATTACATGGTCCAGCTCCCACTGAACAATATGGTGGCAGCAGTGATGTATTGTTCCAATAACCAGCAGGGACCAACACAAAATCTTCGTCTATACTTATCTGTGAGATCGAGCGGTGAAAGCTTATTATTGCACCTGTAAAAAAAAAAAAGTTTAAAAAACTTGCTATTAAAAGTAAAAAAAATATCTGAAAAGTGTTCATCGTTCTGTGTTTTGCAGGGTCCTTTGGAAGGATATCCTAGCTGGATGATGGAAACACCGGAGTCAGAGAACATATAATCACGTAACATGAAATGTGAATCAGATCTGTAGGATATGTGCATCCAGCGAGCTGTGGTCTCCAGAATAAAGCTGTTAACTGGAAGTTGGCAGCTTTTCATTCCCTGTCTGCACGATAAACTGATATCATCTTTACAGACTGACAATGAACTGTGATGAAAAAGCATCATGACAATCCATTTATCAATTTATTGCCGCCTGTGATTAATTATTAATTTACTGTTCCTCTCTTACCGTCTCTTCCTCTCATTCTTCTCTTTGAAACGTTTTTTAATGTCAGAAAAACAAATTAATAAATACAAATATTAAAATTTAGTCGTTTTTTTGCAAGTGAGTCGTTAGGCTCTGTTGAGCTGAGTGGTGTGTAGTTCCTTTGCCTGGGTAAGATACTACATTACCCACAATCCCTCCGCACAGCTACGAAGAAACTATCCATGGCTCTAACCAGCCGCTACCGGCTCCGAGGTCTCAGGATCCCAGCGGAGGCGAAGTGCGGTAAAAATAATGACGTCCCGCTCGGACAGGTACACGATGCTATCAGTATTTTTACCTGTGTTTGAATTTTTTTGAATCCTGAAATAATTAATGCAGTTTTTTTATTTTATTTTATTCACATTTTTATAGTCCGCAGCATATAAAACGCTAACCACACTGACGCCCCTTCTCCTCTCCTCCTCCTTCCTTCACCCCCTATAAACAGATGTTTACACACCATTCCGTTAAACCCTGTCTCTGTTAGTTATTAACTGATCAGTATCATCACGATGGGGGATGAAGGTGCATCAAATGCGCTTCAGAAATAGGTGAGCTGCATGCTGACACAGTCGTGCGTCACAGTCTCTGAAGTCACGAGTTCAATCTGTGATCATAAATAAACCTCTGCATTTCAAGCTTTATTACAAACATTAGCAAGGAAGTAATACCTTAATCATTTTTTCTGTTGGAGAAGTTTGAGGTGGCGCTCGTTAAACTTATTTTAGCCTGTTATGAATGTAATCAGAGTACTACACGCCAGACAGTTGTTGCAGATTTGTCAGCTGCACATCCATGATGCAAATCTCCTGTCCCAGCACATCTCAGAGGTGCCCTATTAGATTGAGATCTGGTGACTGTGAGTACAGTGAACTCATGGTCATGTTCATGAAACAAGTTTGAGGTGATTTGAGCTTTGTGACGGGACACGTGACATGATAATGGACAGAATAAAAATTAAAACGCAAAAAAAAAACAAGAATAACGATCAAATAACAACAGCCAACAAAGACTCAGTGTCACAAGATTCATCGTAAAGACGAATATTAAAGAACTCAAAACTCAACCCAGTGGTCAGACACCATAAGCATTAGAATGGTGAAGCGATATTGAAGATAACGAATGATAACGAATGATTTTTACAGTTTTCAGTTTTCTGTCTGTCTTCTGTCTTTGTCCTTTGGGTTGTTGGTCAGCCGAACTCCCTCTGTAAGGGCTGAGACTGACAGTTTTCGCTGTTTTCTCACATGACGTGTATCATAAGAAATCATTTTGCCCCATTTGGTTTTCTAGTGTTTCTGTTGATCAGGTCGGTGAACTGAAAGGAAGGATCAACAGAAGACATCCATCATGGCTTCTTTTTATTTAGAGGTGGCTCTATTAATACCAGCCAAGCAGCTCTTTGCTGTCAGTGTTACAGTGATCCTCTTAGACGCTGTCACTCACTCTCTCGCAGAGAGAGAGAAAGCAGGACACGGAGAGAAGAGCAGATTTTTCAGATGATTAAGGCTTCACAGACGTGTGAATGCACAAAGTGAAAACAGACTAGAAATAGACCTGTATTTAACACGTTCACGGCCTCGGTCAGTGCTGAGGGCCGCTTGCTGTTGTTTTTGGGGAGGTTGCCACAGTGACGGGTGAGCTGGAGGGTAACAGGTTGTCGTCCGAAGCAGATATGACTCTGCTGGACTGCACAGGAGCCAGAATCTCCGGCTGCTGGTCGTTGAGGTCTGACCGCAGGTAAGATGTGGCTGACTGCAGTGTTGCTGCTGTTGTTTTCTCTCAACACAGACACCCTGCTGGTTTTCCCCCAACAAAGCTCACATACACACTGTGGATACATGTGTGAGTGCTATAAATAGTCTGCAACCAGGGGTTGTTGACAGGTCAGAGGGAGTGCCGTATCCGGATTAGTTTGCAGTGATTTGGTGTGAGAGCTGGGTTTATTTGGGTTGCTTGAAATGTGTCATTACTGCACATTTATAATGACCTCGAATATGCAAAACACTCATTAGTCTTCACTTCCATTCAAGATTTGTCCCATTTAGTATGCATGCGCTGTAGTAGTGCATCACATCCAAAACAAGCAGGGTACCGATTTAGTTTCTAATTATTGCCTGTGGGAGTGTATAAGTCCACAAAGAGTCCCCAGAGAGCATGACGCAAAAGCTAAGCTGACTTTTCCATGTTCCATAGTTAACGGTGATGTGAGCCTAATCTAAATCACTGTAATCTAAGCTGCCGTGTACCTAATAAATTACCTTACAGTCTTACTACTACACTATAGGTAAAGCAGTATTCATATTCTTTATGCCAGTACTGCACCATAACCGTAAAAGAAATGACAATGTAACTTAAAGCTTTTGTTTTGTGGCTACAGTATCAGAACTTAAAATAGTGAAGAGAAAGAATCACAGCATGTGTTTATAGCATTGTTACGATAACAATAGTACAGCTCCACTCCTACTGAGCTCTCACAATGCCTTTATACTACAAGCTGCAGTCACCCTCACGCACACTTTTTATCTATGTGCACAAATGCCTATGGATCAACTTGGCATTCACTATCTTGAGCGTACAGTGACGTTAGCTTTTCAAACTCTCAGCTTGCTGAGGTGGAGCCGGAACAGTATTCACTGTGGATTAATCAGCTGTATACTTTCTTGAAGCATGTTTATTTCTGTATTTGTAAAATGCACAACAGTAGTAGCAAATTTCCATCCTATGTAGGGACAGGGATAGCTCAGTAGGTAGAGTGTTGGCCCCATTATTGGAAGGTTGGGGTTCGAATCTGGCTACCCTGAGGTACCCCTGAGCAAGGTACCGTCCCTACACACTACTCACCGGGTGCCCAATGGCTGCCCACTGCTTCACTGAGAGAATGGGTTAGATGCAGAGAAGAATTTCCCCACGGGGATCAATAAAGTATACATTACTATAAACCACTATCTCTTTATGTTAATAAAGTGTTCTCATACCACCATGCTAGAAAAGCTCCAGTAATTCATATGTGTAATTCCTGAAGACTCAGAACTTCACTGGAGGGATGAAACGCCATTCTTCTTAATTATGGTGGCACAAACTGTCAGTGTAAAGTCTCCCAGAAACGCTCACTTATGTTTAAATGTGGTTCCTGTAAATCTCAGAGCATATGATTTATATCATCTTAGTACTGAAAGAGCTCCTTCTCATCAGGATAGAGATTTTCCTCAAAGAATAAAGGTGAGCAGTCACAACAGTGAAATTTTAGTCAAAGCAAACCTAAAAAACCTACCAGCAAAACACCCCAGAGCCACAAGACCCTCTCACTTTAATATGTCTTGTTATATATGAGGAATAGTCTAAACTTCACATTTACTGTAACCGTATACAAAGAAAAGCTGTGATTTCTTGCAATGTGAGAATCCACTCTCCTCCAGTCCTTGGGCAAGATACTAACGCCCAAGTTCCTCTCTGATCAGCCTGAGTATGAATGTGTGAGAACGTTAGATAGAAAGCACTTACATACAAAAGAACGGGTGAATGAGGCATGTTGTATGAAGTGCTTAGAGTGCTCAGATAGACAGAAAAGTTCTGGGTTACATTTTTAAATGTTCTTGATTTGTATTGTAATGAAAGTTGTATTTTTTTTAAAGTTGTGCCAAAATGTCATGCAGTCAAAAGTGCAGCAGATGTCCTTAAACTGCTATTACAGAAAAACTGGATGTGGATATGAGATTTTACATCCTCTGTGATCAACAGCAGAGCTCATAAACAGTAATGTGTTTGCGTAAAGGGACAAAACTCTTTTCTGCTTGCACAGCAGGTGTTGGCATTCTAGAAATTGTGTCTTGCTGTTGTTGTTTTTGACCATGAGCTCCACATTTTTAGTAAAATATTTAAACAGGATGTTTAAGGATGGTTGGCTATGGTACAGATTTAATGCTTTCTAAATTCAGAATTATTGGAAGAAAAGAACTAATTAACTTTAATATGTATAAATGTATAATTTAATTTGTGTTTGTTTGTATTCCTATGAATGCGTAGGTATGAATGTACATGTATGTGTATATGGGCCAGTTGCATTTCTATTCAAGCATAAATTTGAGTTGCTTCTGTACAATTAGTTAAAATATCCTCCTGAGAACTGAGGAACTTTAACTTTTTTTGTGATTTCCTTCCTCTTTGGAGCTAAGAGAGGCCACCCAAAAACATGAGATATCATGGAAAGCCCAAGATGTCCTCTATTTACTACATTAAGACTTAGTAAGCTAGCTTAAATAAGTCAAAAGATACAGACCAAATCAATTCAATCCATCTATCTCTATTTAAGACGCCATAAGTTTTAGCTAACCTTAACTCTTAAGACCATAAGCACAAAAAAATACGTGTTAGTGATGTTAGTGTTAGCACTGTGTGTGACTGTAAATTAGCTGCATCATGCAGAAAAGCCCAGTAAGTATTTTCAAAATAAATATATATTTGCATTAGAAATCAGAGAATGCAGACGACATCATTTGCTATAATAACTCCATAGGCCTAGCTGTGACAGTTTCCTTCCTGTTCCTTCCATGGATCGTTTGTTCAGGCTGTGACCTGCCCTGCTGTTTGCTGTTTTTGCAGTGGGAGCGGGGAGGACTCGTTGGACCGCCTCCTGCCCTCGGCTGGGGCCCCTCGCAGGAAGAGCGCTACCTCGCTGAGTAAAACAGAGCCTCCTCTGCTCCGCACAGGCACACGCACCATCTACACCGCTGGCCGCCCGCCCTGGTATGACGAGCACGGCGCTCAGTCAAAAGAGGCCTTTGTCATTGGTACGACACTCACTGATGATGTTGTTGGTCCTCCAGACTGCCAAGTCGTGGCTTTGAGCTGCAGAAGCTGTCCTTAATGTCCTATTCTCTCATATTATACCCATAAACATTTTAGTGCTATCACACATGCATACCAGCAGACAGCATTAGACACACTCTGAAAAACACAAATAATGGGCCTTTGAAATGCTGTGTGGATCTGCAGGGCTGTGTGGGGGCAGTGCCTCAGGGAAGACCACCGTAGCCAATAAGATCATTGAGGCCCTGGATGTGCCGTGGGTTGTGCTACTGTCGATGGATTCTTTCTACAAGGTGATGCCTGTTTGTGTTTTTTGTCTTTATCGATTTGGTAATTATTACAGATTATCTGTTGGCTTGTTAAAGGAAGAAATGATCTATGTGCAGAGAAAATCTTTCGGTAATCTTAGGAGCTTTTCCATCACAGACTCGAAGTAATCACTGTACTGCTGTCACTTGATTTAATAAGAGGTTGTGGTTTTGCCTTAAAATTACAGCCTTCGAATGACAGACTATTCATGTGCCGCAGCAGTGAAAATGAACCTACAGAGACCTGCAGGGGAAAAGGAACAGAGAACAATGGAGTAACATATTTCTGTTTAGGCGGAACCTGGAACAAAATGCACTGTAAGAACATCAATTAAACTTCATTTAAATCACCCAGTGTATACTAAACAAGAAAGAGTTTGAGGTTTCCACCAAGACTAAAGATTCCCTCCACAGCCTTTGTGAATTGAGTTTCTGGATCCAAAAGTATATCTCTCACTTTTTATTTTAATATGTGTAAAGAAGTCTCATTAACAAAACCCTGAATCCATATTTCTAGGTGAAACTAAGCTACACCACTAATAAAATTTTCATGTAAATTTGTTTTAGAACTTTTTGTGTAATCCTGACAACAAACAGAGCCAATCGCATAACTTTCTTGGTAGAGGTAATCAATTTGAGTCCCAGCAGGAAACCAACATATTAGGCTGTTTGTTAAATCTTCAGAAAAGATGTCAGATTAATTGAAAATTTCCATCCATGCTTTAAACTGGCATGTAACTGATACAGTGCAGAAACATTGCATATTTTGTTTAGACAGTAGATTGTCCTCCATCTTGTTCAAACACAGAAAGTTCCCATTTGATGCTCAAGCCAAAACAAGTCATTATACGATCCACCATACTGTCTACACAGGATTATGGACCTATCCTGTAGGTTCATGCTGTCGCTAATGCTATAAACCACTGGATGCGCGCTACCACAGCGTCACGTGCTATTCATTACTGCAGACAGCTACGGCTCTCACCAGCTGTGAGTTACACAGTCAACAGTCCAGAAAGCACCCACTGATCTGTGATCTGTGTTTGTTTTCATAGACTCAACTTCTTTAGTTGAGATCAGTTGGGAAAACATAATCATTACAGATAGAGTCATAACAAGTTCCTCAGACCAACTTTTTTCTTGTAAGCCGCACACTCATAAGCAGAGATGTTCAGTCCTCTATAAGACTTTAAATCTTGCTCATGTTTCCAATTATTTTTGTGCATTGTGGGTGTTTTTTTAGTGAAAGAGTGTAACTATTTGCTCTGCTGCAAAGGAACTCTTGATCTCAATTAAATTTGTCACATAAATAAATCTTAAGTTAGTAAATTACAAAGAGAAATGTTAATATTTATGTTTTCTGTCCCAGTGTTCAGAACCACATAATAAAAAAAATATTCATCACCATCACAGAGACACGAACCAATCATTTTGAATAAATCACATAAACTGTTATCAGGTTTAACATCTTAAAATGTGGTTTAGCCAAGAAGATGTATCAAAAGTATAATTTCATCTTTTGTTGATAGAGTCCAACATTTTAGAAACTGCAAATGTTTGTTGTCTTGTAGAGTTTAAAAGATCAGTAAAAGAAAAATTGTAGTTAGTTAGTTTATTTCGTAAATAAAATACATAGAAAATGTTAATTACCACTAACTTTCCAAATGGTAATTGAGCTAATCCACCCCCCCTGCCATCCAGCATTAAATCAGTGCCATTGATTATTAAATTTGGATTTTTGAGCCCAGTAAATAATATTCCCGTCTTTATGCCACGGTCGGCAAGGTCTGTCATCTCAGTTGTGGGCAAATAAAGGCTATCTCATCTCATCAACATCATCAAATCTTCCCACTATACAAAGTGACATCAGAGTGACGTCTTTTATGTGTCAATTTTGGATGTCAAATTTTGGGCCACTGAAGGAGTTGTTTTGTAATGACAGGCAACGTCTTTTTTTTCTACATCTACTGAACATGTAGTGTTGATGTCCATAGGACCTTCGTGTACAGTCTATTTGTAGTCCCGATGTGGTCATTGTGGACCACTTTTCAACGTCAAACTTAGACACATTTTACACGCCATTTTTTTTCGTTGCATCTTAAGGCTTTTTAGTCCCGTGTGTCCAGAGGGTGGAGGACATGTTTTCTATAGCCTCCTGACTACCAGGAAAAAAAATGTTGTCCAATCAAAAAATTTTTTAAATCCCCCAATGTTTGTAAGGTAATTAGAAGACTGAAATAATTTTTTGGGAAAAAAAAAGTTTACATTTTTTAGATATCACATGTCCACTGCAGAGGACATTGGAAGGCAAAACATGTAAAAATGAACTTTGATGACAAATATTTGCTTCAACTCTTCACCAAGGAGAAGTTTGAACTCAAGGAACTGTAGTGGTTTCTTCCCCCAAAACTGCAAGTTACTGCTATACTGAAGCCATGAGTTGGTGATTGCCAGATCAAAAAAATAGAGAACTGCACGTGCTGTCAATTTCCGAGTGCGAGAGACCATCCTATAGAAACTCAACATTCGGCAACAAGGTCCACGTCACCTATGTTGGTATTGTACTCAGCAATTGCCAGTGGACTTGGCACATGGACAAACCTTTTGTTTTTCTTAGACCATCTTGTGGACATTTTTTAAACACTTCAATACTATACTAAAATGAAGTTAGAATTAAGCATACTATGTTTTAACGTGTTATTAAGAGACTTATTTAAAATATGTTAACAACATTTATAGCTAAAAATTGCTCAATAAGAAGTTTTATGCACTTACTTTTCTTCTTCCCATAAAATGTGCTTGCAGCGATGGCCGCCATGTTCCTTAATGAAAAAACTAAAGTTCCCAAAGCTCCACCCCTTCACATTTGGTATCATTGGAAAGCCCTAAATGTCCTCTGTAGATACCAAAAGGAGGCAATTCTGTAGTATGCAGTGCATGGGAGATATTCAGGTTTAGAAAGGTGCTCTACAGAGGACAAATTTGCATTGCTGGTAGTCAGGAGGATAGGCTACCAGTTGATTTTTGTTTACACCTTTATTATTACCTTTACATTTATTAATCATATAAATTTCCTGCACCTATCATAGACGTCCAGATGAAGTCCAAAGTTCAAATGTTGACGTCCAAGCTGGGTCATGGTTGGACGTCCAAATTGTAGACCTAGTTTGGTTGTGTGTAGTTGTCCAGAACTAGTTGTTGACCAACGGACCCAATATAGATCTGAACGTCTATCCGACGTCCAATGTTTAGTGGGATCAGTAAATTAAGACAAAATCAGGTATGCTGAAGTCTTACTTCTCTCTTCTGCATTCACAGACAAAGGTATCAGCTAATTAATAATATAATCTAAAAGTAATAACACAACTTCACAGAAGAAAATCTGCTGTTACAATTAACAACACAGCAATCTGTAGTTTTTGTCAGATAATTGCATTAATAAGAAGGCACCAATGCAATTGAGACGTCCATCTCAGTGACTGGCTGAGCTGAAATGAAGTCTCAGTCAGATGGTCCACGTTCCTAACTTTAGGTGTTAGCAAAGGATAAACGGGTCAGTTTTTGAAAAATTCACCCTCACTACACTTGTCACAAATGGGTACATTAACTTAAAACATCAAAGCTGTGTTTTGTGCCAGAGTTAAAACATTATTTGAATTCTGTCAAGTTCCGTATTTTAACTTTGGAGTCTATGAGGACTGACTTGTTTGCAGAGCCTAAAGAAGTCATTGGCCATTAGAAGAAGTGCAGTTGTTAGCATTATAATAAAACTGCATTTTCAGCCCAGGAGTTTAATGGTTCATATTTGTGGTAATAAGCTGATCTAAATGATAAAATAAACCCTCATTTAAAATCTTTAAATAGTTAATCAAGTTAATGAGGAAGATCCTCTGAAATTCATCTTTATTTTGTGTCTTTCAGGTTTTATCCCCCGAGGAGCAGGCTCTGGCCGCAAAGAACGACTACAACTTTGACCACCCGGGAGCATTTGACTTTGAGCTGCTGGTTTCCACCCTGAGAAAACTGAAGCAGGGCAAGAGTGTGAAGATCCCGGTGTATGATTTCACCACACACATGAGACATAAAGACTGGGTGAGTTTGGTTTTTATTGCTTTAAAGGAACCTCAGTGTTGATTATGCCAAAGATGAGATGGACCAGAAAGAACCCCAGTGTTGAGGCAGCATTCAAAGCTGAAAATGTATTAAACTTAAATGAAATTTAAATTTTTAAAAACTGTGTCAAAGTGACACACTGCACCTTTAATCTTATAAAAGCTCAAACGACTGCTTTCTTCTTTAAAGACTCGACTTTCCCTCCTCTTCTTGCAGAAAAATGTGTACGGTGCCAGTGTGATCATTTTTGAAGGAATTATGTCCTTTGCAGACAAAGAGCTTCTTCAGGTAAGACAGTGCATTCTTTTATTTCCTTTCTTTTGAAGAATTCTTGAGTGAAGCAGACTAATCATCACCAGGAATTGTTTGTGCAGCTGCTTGGCTGAAATGAACATTATTGAACTGTTGGCTCTTCGCACCTGCAGCTCCTGGATATGAAAATCTTTGTGGACGCAGACTCAGACATTCGGCTCGTCCGCCGGCTCCGCAGAGACATCACAGTGCGTGGACGGGACATTGAAGGCGTAATCAAGCAATACAACAAGTTTGTGAAACCAGCCTTTGAGCAGTACATCGAACCAACCATGAGGCTGGCAGATATTGTTGTACCAAGAGGTGAGTCAGACAGACCTCGTCTTTCCTAAAGACCACCTAAACTAAAATGTTTGGACATATTTGTTAACACTGGCTGTTCTCGGCTTTTTGTTCCCTCCAAGGTGGTGGGAATATGGTGGCCATTGATCTGATTGTCCAGCATGTTCACAGCCAGCTGGAGGAGGTGAGTCACCAAATCGCTCCGTATACTTGAGAGCATGGTGCCACCATGTGTCTGAAGGCTGAAACATGCAGACTTCCAATTCTTTGTGGGATAAGTGGCATCAGAAGAAAATACATCGAGCAAGCTTTCACATTTTTAACCCTTTAACTTTGAAAAATATTGCCAGCAAACTGAATTAAAAACACAAAACCTGAGATTTGTTGATTTTACAAGTGTTATGTGTGTAGCCATGTGACCTCTACTGTTGTTCAAAAGCCAGTGAAAAGTCCTGCAGTTGTAGTGGATGACATGTTCCTTTATTGTGATGAACATGCTGAATCAGTCGAATGTGGCTCATTCTGAAACCAGTAAAAGCAGTATATGTGTTTGAGTCACATATGATAAAATCCTCAGTGCCCTGCTGTTTTAATAAATTATCTATTCAATTAAAAAAATAATTAGGAAGAAATGTACTCAGTAACTAAAACGAAAAACAAAGACTAGATGTGAATGTCGATTTTAGTTATCAAAATGCAAAGACAGAAGGAAACCAACTAAAATCATACAGGACTCTGCCAAAGTCTTGAGCCGTCCCTCATCTTTTTTGTGTTTAAATGCGAAAGAGCTGCAGTGATTTATTGAAACATGCAAACATACAGTATATAAGGCAGAAATAGAGTTTGTACAGTTCTAATGCATGCACGTGCAAAATATTTGGTGTGACCACCTTTATTCTTGAGCACAGCCTGAACTCTTGAAGCTTTTTCTTTAGGAATAGGTTTCCAAGCTTCTTGAGGGACGTTCAAAACTCTTCATTGGATTTTGGCAGCCTTTTGTTTTGTTCTGTGTCAAGATGATTCCACACTGCTTCGGTAGTGTTGAGGTCCCGGCTGTGGGGAGGCCGATCCAGGACTGAAAGTGTTTCATTTTGGTTTTTCTATCCAAGTGTGCTTTTGCTGCATTAGTAGTGTCAGGGCAGGATATTAAAAGGTTTTTTTTTAAAAATAGGAAAAACAGCATCACCATCCTTATCTTCTGAAACATTATTTTTTCCTCTACTATTATTTTCATTTATCGTCTCTCTCTGTCCTCCCTTTATGCAGCGTGAACTCAGTGTCAGGTATGCTGATACATATTTTCACTTCTGTGACTTTGGCCGGCTTATTGTAATTGGAAATTTTATATTCAAACTGTGTCCTCTATGGCTTCCACACTGTGCCCCATCTGCCCTCTCTGAAAACTCCCTGCCGCCTCAGAATCTCTTTTCTCTGATAGTGTGTCGGACTAACAAAGTTAAACCTTTTGATCTGATCTGCTTTGTCTCAGGGCACTCCTGGCCTCTGCCCAGCAGACGCAGCCGTTGCCCCAGACGCTCAGTGTCCTCGAGAGTACGCCGCAGGTCAGGGGCCTGCACACCATCATCAGGTAGTGACATGTGATCATGATGTCCTTCCTGCAGTCCTATAATTTGAAATTTAAAAACGTTTTGATTCCCTCCGCCGCAGGAACAAAGAAACCAGCCGAGACGAGTTTATCTTCTACTCAAAGAGGTTAATGCGGCTTCTCATAGAGCATGCTCTAACATTTCTACCATCTCAGGTGAGTAATCTTGGTTTGAATATCTAGAATCATTACTTTTTATTAATATGATTACCCTTGCATGAAAAGAGTTGCTCATAGTGATTAAAACAAACAAAACAAACAAAAAAACAGTAATTAATTCCCTCCAAATCTCTTGAGTTTCTCATATTTTAATTCATAGTTTTGGTTTCAAGCTGACTGCATTTTGAAGCTTTAACATTAGCGTTTTGGCCCCCACCGTGTTGGGTTTTTTTTAGAGCCACAAGTTACCTTGCATGGATAAAAGGGCTTGAGAAACAACATACCAGATAATTAATCCTAAATACACTCACCAAACCTGAATAACAAACTACTGGGATGTTCTTGACTACACAGCAAGCCATAACATTAGTCAGGTTATCAATCAAAATGCTCCAAAAGTCACCAACGGCACACACAGTGAAGCGAAGTGTTGTGATGAGTCTGACAGGTACCGTTTGGCTGCCTGTAAATCAGCGCAGCCACATCTTTAACTCAATCATCCTGGTGGGTGACTTATAAAAAACTCACCTGTCTCAGAGTTTTTGGAAGAGTCAAAACTATCCGTAGAGCCCAAAAAGCTTTTTTTAAAGCTGTAAAGTTGGACATTTTAAAATGGGAGTGTATGGGGATTTACTCGTTTTGCACCCAGCCTCAAGTGGTCACTAAAGGAACTGCAGTTTTTTGCACCCCTCAATGGACACAAACACAGCAACAACAACAAAGTTGCAATGTGCCTGCTGGATGTATGAAAGGGCAATACATGTGTTCCTTTAAATAGTCAAACTAAGTATGTTATTAAAACATAATCTGAATTTTACATTTCATGTTTCGTAAGTCGGCTGTATAAATTAAAAAAGTAAAGTAAGCCATGGTGAACCCTGTCGGCTCCCAAATTTCAGTGATGCCTGTCACTGTCATGCAAATAAGAAGTTTTGTCTGTAACTATAGCGTTATGTTCCACATACTGTGTATGAAAACCACTTCATCTTCATATTCTATCATGACAAAACAGCTGTAAAGCTTTTTGCGATTATTTTTCTTTCTTAAGATTTTTTTTTATTACATCTTTGATTCACTGAACTGCAGACAACCCTGTTTTCACTTTTTTCATCCTCATACCTTCTACTGTTTGCCTAGCAGTTAACAACCAAAACCACTTAACAGAACATATAATTATTTCTCTGTATTTCTCTGAAAATGTACTTGTGTTAAAGCTAAGTGAACACTATTAATGTTGAATTGAGGAATGAAAAGCTGCCCTTTTTGATGCGAACTCTTGTAATAAAACTTGTTAGGCTTACTGAGTAAAGCACCTCATTAGAGCCCCCTTCACAGTTAGCTCATGCATGTTAGTCATATTATCCAGAGGGCATGTTTCATACTTCACATTCTAAATCTGCTGACTCTACCTTTCTGCATAATGAGCTGATATTATTAGCTTCTCATCAGTCACATAAAACAGTAACAATTAATTTCACTGGGGATTTTCTTTTTTTTTTCCTTTTTTCTTTTTTTTGGCAAGGAAAGCAACACAGAAATATGATAGAACTTGAAGTGGCCCCATTATGCCCATTTGCACCTCCAGGTTTTTATATTTGGATTTCTGAGGAGTAGCTTTGCATAATTCACATTTTAAAAATAAACTTTTTTTAGGGGATTGAAGAGCCTAGGTGCAGCTCAAATCTTCAAAGCTACTCTCTCTTGGCTGCCCCTTGTGAACAAAATCTTTTATATCAGGTGGGCGTGGCTTCTGGGCGGACCAAAGCTTCTTGCTAGTTAGAGCTGTGTGCATGAGATGACCATGTCAGGGATTTCTGTTTTCACTGCCATCACACAGAGTGACGAAAAAAAAAGAAAACTGCCTTACACTGAGTGTGTGAAGCTTGAGATTTTGATTCATAGGGATTACCTACTGAAAAAGAAACTAAATATGTCACTATGATACTCATTACAGCAAAAAATAAATAAATAAATAAATAAATCTGAGAACTCTTGTGCAAATGTAGTGTTTGTGTTAAAGATCAGGTTTATATTTGTGTATTTTTTCTTTAGTGCCACTTTTTTATGTCGGTGTGTTTGTTTGTGGGGTGTTTGGTGTGTAATAAAACATCATTTCTTCTTCTGCCTTTGCAGCCGTGTTCAGTTCAGACCCCACAGGGCCATGATTACGAGGGCTGCAGTTACAACGGTAAAGGGGTAAGTGATGTTCTTGTTTTACAAGGTCTTGCTAGCTTCCAGTCGAATATGACCTCAGGGTTTCTGTCATCATGCTCGCTCTGCTGCCTCGTCTCCTCAGATCACCGGTGTGTCGATCCTGCGTGCAGGAGAGACCATGGAGCCCGCCCTGAGGGCCGTGTGCAAGGACGTCCGCATCGGCAAGATCCTCATCCAGACCAACCTCGACTCAGGCGAGCCAGAGGTAGAAAAATATGAGTCATTTACCATCAAATCCATGTGCGTGCTTTGCTTTCCAGACTTCACACGCTCCTGGGTGTGTCTCAAAAATCACATCAAACAAAAGATGAAAATGTTTTGATTGTTTTTTAATTTTTTTTCCCTTCCACATGATGTGTGTCTCCGTGGTAACTACCCTTCCTGCTTTTGTAACCATGGTAACTGGTCTCCTCCTCTCTGGCCTCACCAGCTGCATTACCTGCGTCTGCCCAAAGACATCAGTGAAGATCATGTCATCCTAATGGACAGCACAGTCTCCACCGGCGCTGCTGCCATGATGGCAGTTCGAGTCCTATTGGTGGGTGGAAATTAGCATCATTACCCTGCAATAAGGCAGCAGTAGGGACCCTCTCCTGTTGGGCAGTCACATGTGTTTTATTACCCATCTGTGTGGGCATTGAGTAGATGTTATTCTTTTTCTCTGATGCAGTTTGAGTTGTATTATTCCTGCAAGGAAAACCTCAAATGTATCCTTTCCACTTACTGAGCTTCTTAAAGTGATCAAGAAGCCACTAACTGTTGTTGCTGTGATGTGTGTGACTGAGCAGGATCATGAGGTGCAGGAGAATAAGATCATGTTGGTGTCGCTGCTGATGGCAGAGCTCGGGGTGCACTCTGTGGCCTATGCCTTCCCAAAGGTCAAAATCATCACCACTGCTGTGGACAAGGGCCTGGATGATTTTTTACATGTAATTCCTGGCATCGGTAAGCACTTCCATGCATCTTTTCATTCTTTCACGTACTGTCTTGTAAATTCAGATGGCCTGTGTTCCTACCTGTGCACACATTTTACCTGAAGTATTTTTTTTTTACAGTTTGGAGTCAGCAGGAGAAAACTTTTGAATTATAGCTGACGTATAAAAATAAAAATTTAATGCAAGTTCATAAATCTTCATTAGCTTACCACACCGCCTTCAGCGTGCAGGTGTTGGGTTCATGATTTTAGCTTTGTGCAGGAAATAAAAAGCAGCAGACAAAAAGATAATAAGCATCTGTTTCTCTAGTTGACAAATTTAATTTCTTGTACCAGCAGTTTGTAATATTATGATTGTGTCATGTTAGATTTGAAGCAAACCTCTCTTTCTGTCACTACTGAGTGAGTGAGCAACGTGAACATCAGATGGCCCACTCGTAGCTTTACAAACAGAAATACTTACATGTGATTATGTAACTTGTCCTACAGAGAATACAAGTGAAAATACTGCAGCTGTTTTTTGAGGTGTACTAGACGTGATGGCACAAAATTTTTTGCAGGTATAGGAAGTATAAGATTACACCTGAAATCTCATAAAACTCATTTGCTTAAAGGCATTGCAGTCCTGAACTTTTCTCACACTTACCTGATAAAGGGACAAGTGTTAACACAAATGTCCGATGCACTCACATTGCATTTTAGCCGGTCTTTAATCTGCCTGCTCCCTAGTACAGGATCCATTTGGTATCAGATTGCACCAATGTGTGAATGGTGTAGCTAATCGTCTAGTACATTTGCTGCTAATGAGTGGTCATCCTTTGTCCTGCCTCCAGTTGCGCCATCCTGGCAGCACCCCACCTAATCCACACAGAGTATTTCTAGTAGTGACAGTGTGTTTGAAGCTGACTATTTCCTGAAGCATGCACATCAGAAAAGATAGCTGTGGAAACCTGATCACAGCCTGATCGTAGCAATGCTATTTGAAGTTCATGTGTGAAAATGCAGTTAGGGACAGCAGTGCCGAATGTGGACATATTGGAGATCCCACCATTCAGCTTAGCCAAAATCAGGAGTGTCTCGGTTCAGCTTTGCCGAGGACTGCAGTGAGTCCAAAAGAGTTGCAGAGGTGATATTGTTTAGCTGTTAAATAAAAAAGGGAAGTTAAAGAACAATTTGGTCTGCACTTTTTCTTTCAATGAGAAAGAACAAGAATTAAAACATATGGCGGCCTCTAAGGTCAAAGCACATGCCAGAAAATGCAAACAGGGAAATGCACAAGTTTATAAATGTTATAGTTACCGGGGAAAAAACAGATAGTCTTGTGCAGGCTAGTAGTTGTGAACATTCAGTCAAATCTGCAGATGTAACATAAATCTCTACCTATCAATTTAGACTCGTTATGAACTATGGGTCAAATGTGTATAGTTTGAAAGAAGCAAGTCTTGGGGCTGCATAATAAGGTTCAATCAAATAGTGCAACTTCATATGTATTTATATACATAGAGTATTGTGTCTGTGTGTTTATGCAAACTGATATTTTTAATCACACTGAGACAAAAAATAGGGGTAGTTGATGTTTTTATATGCTCAAAATGGGTCATTAAAGCCCGTGGGTAGGCCGTTACTAGGCAGCATGATGGTGTCATAATATATCACGTGTAATTCAACATTTGTGGATATAAATTAGATGTTAAGGTCATAAAATTAAAACAACAAGATGCTTTAATGAGGTGCTATTCTGTAGCATTTGTGTATTGTTGGAAGATTTATTATTCATCTAACTGATAACAGAATATCTGTAGAAGCACAGATTTTTTACCAGAAATTCTTCATTTGATCACTGTAACTGAGCACATATGTGGAAGTCGAGAGTCTCCTGAATGTTTGAGTGTTGTGTGTGTAAACTGATGTCCGTCCAAGCAGTTGTTGTTTAGATTCAAGCAGGTAGGAAGCGAGTCGAGTTTAATTAGAAAGTGAAAAGTGAACATAAAATCAATTTAACGTCCTTGAAAAATACCAGTGGAAAAATAGCTTTCTCTTATTGAGCCATTGCTTGTAAAAAAAAAAAGAAAAAAGAGAGAGATCTATATGAAAAGCAGAAATTCAGTTTAAACTTTCATTCAACCTTTGCTGCTATTTAGCTTTACTATCTCTTCACACTGTGTTTTTCAGTGTGTCTTATCGTTACATATTTCTCTTGCCTGGCTTCGGGGGCGATGTCTGCTCCGCTCTGAGTGCACTGCTGTGTGTGTTTTTTTAGGGGACTTTGGGGACCGTTACTTTGGGACTGATGGCTTCGACAGCTGGAGTGATGAAGAGGACCAGGAGCAGCTGCCACACTGACTCAAACATTTGTGAGACTCTGTGAAAGAAAACACAAACTACTTGAAAACTGTTGTGCATCCTCCTCTTCAGGTGTAGACTAACAAAAAAAAATTGTTATATTTACTTTTGTGTACTGTAAAATTTTATTTTTTTTACTCCTCTGAAGATGATGTCTGAGTCCAGGTTTGTGCATGAGGGATATTTTGTTCTGCTCATCTTAAATATTTTAATACTGAACAGTAAAGCAGTGTCATTGCCTTTGAGGTGCAGTAAAACAATAATCCAATAACGTTATTAAATGGGTCCAGGTTGCACCAGCTGTTATTAAATCCAGAACTTAGTAAGAGCCAAAGAGTAAAGGAGTAAGTTCAAAGAGTAATGTACTAAATTTAGTTGGGCAATTAAAATATAGTGAATGTCTTCAGTAGTTTTGACTGTAGTAATGTGTAAATCTGTCATGCATATAGGGAGTTCCAGTTCAATACAGCAGCACCGTGAGGCAGCATCAGTATGGAAACATGCCCACAGTAGCAGGTAATTTTTGCCTTGTTCACAGTCTCAGTTTTACATATTACCAAGCCAAAGTACAGCAGATTGGACCAAAGAAAAGCTCACATATGATATTATTTGAATAAAAATTAGGAGATCACCAACAGTAAGAAGTTTCTAGGCTCGATTTCTGCTGATTGCTAGGCTGTCTCCCTGTGCGTGTGTGGGCTTTCCTCTTACGAGCTTGAAGTCCAGTCGCCTTCTTTTGAAGCTCTTAAGACTACCATGACCTGGATGACTGAGAGCCTGCAGACATGTGGGCTTTCCTCCAGTTTCCTTTCGCAGTTCTAAGACATGTTTGTCAGGTTAACTGGTTATTGGTGAACTTGTCTGTGGCTGTAGAAGTGGTTAAATAATTTAATTTTTCTTCATTAATGGACATTAATGAATACATGTAATTCATCTTATAATTGTTTGGAAGTTTCACATTTAAAAAAACCCCCATAAATTTCATCCTCATGGTGGTGCTAGATGAAAAGTTAGAGGTGCTTCTTTTTGGGGGTGAACAGCACAACAGACAATTATGAAGGTATTTGTGTGATTCTTGAAGTCGCAGATGAACTGATCTCTATCGATAAAACCAGTTGTGTCTAAACGTAGCTCTGACTATGCTCCATTGGAGAAATGTGTGTTTTTAAGAAGAAAGACATTTCACACAATTTAGATTGAGTGTGAAACGTCTGATTGCATGAACCCTACCACCATTATAGGTCACGTGTTTGGTCATTAGTTTGACCATTTTGTGAGCATAATTTTAGACCTTTACTGTTATAATGTAATTCAACCATATCTTCATAGCAGCAAACTAAAACCAATTAACTCTTTTGCACTCATCTGAGCGGCTCAAGCTAATATTATATTCTGGGTATTTGGTTCACATAGAACGCAGCAGTGATGTATAGGATTTACAGGCTATAAAAGTTAGTGTGGTGAAGCCTGTTATAAATTGGGGATATGTTCATTTGCACGTAGTTGTTGAGTCACTTGTATTTTTATAGCACATTTAAAAACAACTGGCTTGGACCCAAAGTGCTTTCCAGTTCAGGCAGGTGGATTAACAAAACAGAGGTAAAACATGGAAGGTAAAAACAGCATTAAGAGAGAAATATGGATAAAGGAACTGGGAACATATAAAAGTAATGGCATAAACACAGTGTAATTACACTTACACAGCATTTGATCCCCTTTCTTCCACATATCCAATTCATAGGATCATAGAGGGGCTGCGGCCTATTTCAGTTGTCATGGAGTGAGAGGTGGGATACACCCTGGCAAGTCACCAGTCTTTCACAGGCTAAGAGACACAGACAACCATCTACAGCCAATGCAGAACCTAACATGCAAGTCTTTGGATTGTGAGAGGAAGCCGTGGGTGCTGGAGGGACCCCACGCAGGCAGAGGAAGGGTTCCAGTCGGGCAGTGAATTTGAACCAATGCCAATTAAACCAATTAAATATTGGAAATAACATTGTTGTAGATCACTACTGTTTTTCAACTGAAAAGAGTTCTCTTTTGTCCTCGACATAAAAAAGAGCAAAAAGTAAAAAAGGTGAGCACTTTTTATCCAGTAGGGTTTATTGTGTCTTATAAATCAAATTAAAGCATTAAAATTTACTGTAAATACATAGTTACAAAAAAAAACAAGTCTGAGTTTATGAATAGCTGGTGCAACAAGAAAGTGTTCAGTGAACTTTCACACTTTCACACTGCTCTAGAAGGATTTTTCTGTATGAAATGGGATAAACTTATGTCTGAAGCTGAGCTGTTGTTTTAATTTATAGTAAAGTCACATAAGAGGAGGGATTAGATAAGGATTTAAATGTAAAACATATAAATCTTGGATTCAGGGTATGAAAAACATGAGATTTTGATACAGATTCAGTTTTCATCCCTCACATCCACCACTCCAAGTTACTGCTGGAGTTTGACATTGTGTGTCTCTAAGGTGCTGGGTCACGGACGGTCACATGCTCATGCTTGAATACTTTAAAAGCTCCTCTCAGGGTTCACGCACAGGCCGCCTTGCTCCTCTCTGCAATGCACTTTAAGGCCTGAAGGGGTCAGTATAGCTCACATTAAGCTTCTTCCAGTATGATTTATAGTGTGTTTATTACCTTTGAGAAATGTGTTATTTTACAGCACAGGAAATGCACACGGACTCACCTGAATCACAATTTAGAGGTTTGAGGTGAGCAGCTGGAAACATCCTTGTGCTTCTCAGTTTAACTGACTGATCTGTTGCTGGGTGCGGTGTGTTAATGCTCACTTGTGAACATGTAAATAATAATGTTTCAGGGCTAAAAATGAGCAGTAAAAGATCACCTTCCTGTCGTGTTCGCGTCTCTTGATCCTTCTGGAGAAAAAACGGACTCCCCAGCCACTTTGTGACCTTAGGCTGAGTGTTATCTCTCCTCTGTCTCTCTCTGATCCTCTGTTTTTCCACCATCATGCACTTTGACTGCGTCTGACGGCCTCATTCATTCATGTTTATTCAGTCATTCATGCTCCTCACAGCGAGATTATCACATCACATAAGCTGTGAACGTGGTATCATCTTCACACCTACAGAATCTCCTACTCGTTTGTTTTGGGCTGTTTTCCTTTTTTCCTTCCTGTGATAGCTCTTCGCCGAGTGGGTGACACTGTGATCACGGATGTCATACGACGCACGCTGTATTCTCCAAGACAGCAGAAGACTCGCTCAGCCATGTGACTACTGCCTCAAGGTTAACCTGTTACCATGGAGACAAGCCCACCAATGAAAATTCAGCAGACGGTTGCGCTGTTGACTGCAAGCTTTTTGTTTTAAGGGGTGACCTATTTTTTTTTTCCCTCCCCCTCCCTCCCCAACACTTCACAGCCACTCAGACGCAGACCCCGCTACTCTGGCACATGTGCACGTGCGCACAGACATGCACACTGATGGGAATGCTACTCACACACATGCACATACATGCTCCTCAATGAGGTCTGCAAGGTTGTGCACAGAAGAAGCAAAGGACAAAATGCACAGCTTTAGATTTAAATCAGTGGGAAAACATTATGTGTTTATAAATCATTTCCCTAAAGGGCCATTACAATTATTGGGATGCATTTCTAGAGATATTTCTTCTTTCCTTCCTAGGCCTAAATACTTGAATCTACAGGCAGCTTTTAAGATCACAAGATGGCAACTGTTAGAGAAATCCATCATCATCAGCAGTGCTTGGCAAATTCTGCTTTCTGTCCGTTTTAATAACCGAGACTATGAGATAAAGCATATTTTTTTTAAAGTGCCACTTTATTACAAAAGTATAAACTTGACTGACATTTCATGAATAGTAATCTTGATATAAAACATTACAATCTTTTGCACTTAGCACTTAATTACACGCTTTTGAGTACAAGACCCTGTAGTCTGAATAGCAAACACACAACATTAGCTGCCACATTTAACTTAGCAGGGCTTTCCAAGAACACACCGTAGCTCCACGGCTTCGAAAAAACAACAAACAGAATACACTGAAATTTACATTGCAGCTGTTTTTGCAGTTTGTGTCACAAGATAAAGTCATTCCAAAAACACAACTGAACATAATAGAAAAAGATAGATTTCTTGACACTGATGATATATTTATTATTCTTTCTCTTTTGTCATGTACATACACATTGCATCAACATACAGTATAATCACATTGTTTGCTGGGGATATTTGGTCAAATGAATTTGTCATTACTGTCCAGGCTTTGTATGCAATTTCTGTGCGGTGTCCTCGGGGTGATGCTGCTTAGCCAACCATTTGCTTCACATTTCTGCAATATTTTTAACACTGATAACGGAGAGAGAGAGAGAGAGAGAGAGTTCGTCGATGGGGTGATGATGAGACATGACGTTTTGCTAATACACATCAGTTCTAGTGGAGCTTTCCATACTGCACTATGATGAAACCAAAGCAGACTCGTATGACCACGAGGAGGGTACTATGTAGATGAACAGTCCACAGATATGAGTGAGGACTGAACAGACGGGAGGATTGTGTGTATGTGTTTCTGTGTGCGTATGTGTGGGGTGGGGTTGAGTGGACTGTCTCCACCTTTAGGACTCGAGCAGTTCTCCTCAGTCTTGTTACATCTGTACTGTGTCTCTTTCAGGTACAGGAGAGAAAAATAATCCTCCCCTCTGCTGCACAGAGTCCCACTGAGCCAAAGACATCCTTAATCTATCTGGCTTTGAGCTCTACAGAGAAATAAAGCAACACACTAACAAAAAATAAACAACCAACGACAATAGAAAAAAAAAAACATTCATATAGAGGTACCACATGACAGTGCTTAATTTTTTTTCATGGTTTTTTTTTTTTAGCATGCAACTTGTAGCAGGCAAAGTGCAGAAACAGGATCAACAAAGTAAAACACTTCATTTACAGACGGCAGTGGAGACAGTGTTCAGTCCATGTATAATGAAACAACATGACGGAGGGGAAGAATCTGGTCGGCTTTTTAAAATGTGAAAACGGTCGAAATTAGTCAAAGCTTTTAGGAGGAATGCAAAATATGTGCAAATTTTTTATTTAATTTATAATACTCTCATAATTGTTTCTCTTGGTCCCTGAGCTTTCAAGTATTTTGATTAGTAATTCGTTCATTTATATCCTTTAAATTCCGTCCTGAATCACGTCTTGACCAACTACAGGGAAGGTCTGTTCACAACAGACTGAGTGCTACCAAAATATTTCACACAATGCTTTGCCTTTTTCCCCCAAATAGGAGTCCTACTATATGCGACTTTTTTTACCCGTTAGAATTGAGGAAGAATTTAGGCTTTTTACTTTATTGTGCTTTGCACATATGTATCAGCAAAATAGAAGTGCTACTGTTACCTACAGATTGCTCTGCAATGGTTTTGTGCTCATTTATTTTTCACTACCTTTGGATTCCTTATAAGGATAATAAATTGGACTTTTTATTCAGCCCAGGTCATAACAGAGCAACTTTACTACCTCAAGGCCTCTGGAGCCCGTGAAAGGCTTGACGTTATGACTTGAATGTAAACAGTATGTGTGGGTGAGCATGACAGGGGCTCAGCCGTCACTCCTTGTGGCATTAGCTCAGCTCCTTGTGTTGGAAGGATAGGGGGTCACAGTGCAGCCGCTGCCTCAGAGCCCTGTTACGTACATCTCCATGCCATCGTTGAAGGTGAAGATGGTGGTGGTGCTGGAGGTGGCAGAGCCCTGCTTCAGGTCGCCGATGCTCTCGTACAGGTTCTCCCCCGGCAGCAGAAGGGCTTTGGCAGGCAGGTGCTGTAACTTGGGTGTCTGCTGCGTTGGTGGCGGTGGAGGGGGCTGCTGCTGCTGCAAGGGCTGCTGGGCTTTCTTCCTCCTTGGCCGCAGGGTGGCACACATGTTAGGGGGTCTCTCTCGCTTCCAGGCGCCTCCGCCTTCCATGTTCTCATAGGCCAGATCACACTCCTCTGTCCCAATGGACTCGTAGCAGTGGTCGTCAAGGGGCCCGCCAACTGCTTTGCCCTCTTGAGGTGCCCACGTCTGGGGTTTGACCACTACACTAAACCCCCCATCCCGGTCTCGGTCCCGGTCACCTCGACCCAAGGTCCGGAAGCCAGGGTTGGCTGGGGGAGACCCCGGCACAGCTCTCTTCTTCTTTCCTGGTTTACACACCTTAGAGTACATCTCGGCCACCTGCAATCAAACAAGTTCAGAGATTATCTTCTGTAAAAAGGACTTTAAATAACCCACTCAACCTGCCATTTTATTCACACTATAGCTAAAAGTTGTGTTAGGCAAGCTGCGTAAACCTCCAGAGCTGAAGAATAAAGCCAGCAAGAAGCACCCAAAACCTTATAATCTCTGCAAGACTTCACCTTTACCAATTTGAGTCCCTGCATTTGTACTTCTCACACATATTGTTGACCTTTGGAAGCTTTTAATCTGCAGTCATCTGATAAATGGTCTGTATTTGTATAGCGCTTTACTAGTCCCTAAGGACCCCAAAGCGTTTTACAACCAGTCATCCACCCATTCACGCACACACCACCAGTAGGCAACAGGTGAAGTGTCTTGCCCAAGGACACAACGACCGAGACTGTCCAAGCCAGGGCTCGAACCAGCAACCTTCCGATTACAAGGCGAACTCCCAACTCTTGAGCCATGATCGCCCCACAATAAGTAATGTGCTTTTCTGAGTGGTAGAGCCTGTCAAACACATTAGTTTTTTAGTTTTGATAACTGAAATTCTTTGTTAGCACTTCTACATTGTCTTGATAGGGCCAAGGCCTAATAACTTGTCATTAGTGATCACGAGTGACTACAGCACTCTTTGCCAGCAGGATTTGTTTGAGAGCACTTGTTGGATTAATATTTGGAACAGTGAGGAAGTCCAAGGAATTCAGTGAAGCTCCAAGAAGGAGAACTGTAGATTTTCACAACTTGAGAAGGTCTTATGGAGCCACTTATAAAAAACTGCGAAATCCAACATCATCATTTCAAAATATTGTGATAAATACACATTATTAAGATGTGTAACCACTTTTTCAAGACCTTCAAGAGCCAAGCTGTCACTCTCAGATGAGAGGAAGTTGGTAAGGATATTCAGGAACCATCAAGGCTCAAGCCTGCCATGAAGTGGAAATTTCTGGAACACCAGCATCACTGTCCACAGTGAAATGAGTTTTACATCATCATGGACTAAGAGGGTGCTGACCAAGTAAAAAGCCACTGCAACAAATCTGACACCTTAAGGCTCCACTGAAATTTGAAGTTGCCCTCATGGCCAAACCAAATGCCTTCTGGAGAAATATTTTACAGTCAGACAAAGATGGAGCTGTTTGGCCACAGTGACAAGATGTATGTTTGGAGCAGTTCAGGTGAGGCTTTCAAACCTAAGAACACTGTACCAGCTGTCAAGCATGGTGGTGATAGCATCATGCTCTTGGGTTATTTTAATGCCGGTCCAGTATCACCTCAAATTAACAGCTACATGGTGGAAACTTGGACAGAATTGGGTGTTTCAACAGGACAATGTTTAGTAATGGATAAAGGAAAAACAGCCCATATGCTAGAGCCACTACAGGTAGGGAATTAGTACGTCTAAAGCTCACCAATTTTCTTTTACATCATTTATTAAACCTTACAGAAACCCAAAGAAAAAAGTAAGAGTTTTGGGTTTTAAAAAATCACTGCTCCCAGACAAGAAGTAGTCCTGGTCATACAGCAGCATACACAGTTTTATTTTCCAACAGACTAATCAATTAAGTTTCTTATCTGTACACTGGGGGAGTCAGGATGCACACAGATCCAGGCAAGCTGCTTCCTGTCATTTATGCTCAG